GTGTTGGGCTCTTCCTGGTGGGCTGGGCTGGGGCTGCGCTTGGAGTGGGCAGGGGCAGGGTGAGTGGCAGCGGTTCTGGGAGGGGGAGCTGTAGCCCATCCCATAGCCCCATGGTCCCAGTGCCATCTCTGCTCACCCTGTGTGCAGCCCAGTCCAACCCCTCACTGGGAAGAGGCTGGTATATCCCCTGGCCCTGAAGCAGGCCCCATGCACAAATCCAGGGGGACACATGGCCCCCACGCCTCCCCAGGGGTTATGCGCAGTTGTGGGAGCCCCCCCAGATAAGACTCTCATGGTTCTGTCCTGCACCCTGCCCTGCCCCAACTGGGCAGTGCCTGCCCCTGCCCCACCCCCTCCCTTACCTCTGGGGTCTTGATTCCTCCCTCCCCCCAAACTTACTGGCTTGATGCTGCTCTCCATGCTGCTGGGCTCCATATCATCAATTATATCAGTATCAGCTGATATGTCTGGTTAATAATCGGCCATCAGTATCAGCCAAAACAATCTTTATCGGTGCACCCCTAGTGTTTGAAACTAAACTCAGACTGTATTAATATAAAATATATAGGTGCTTTCAAATCCAGGGGAGGCAAACTCTAAACACCAGTGAGTTTCTTTTACACTATGAACACTTTTACATACTACACTATAAAAAGAGTATACAACTTGGGTATATAAATGCAGAGATGACAGCCCCCCCAAAACTGAAACACAAAATCACAACAAAACAGGTCTTGAAACTCATACCAACAAAATTAATCAAAAGTACCACTACTGTGGTCCATCAAGACAGCAGAGAAACAAAATGCAAAGTACAGATATTTAAATCTTCCACTCCCTAGCGTGATGTAGAACTTTGGAGGACTAAAAAATCTACACTAATGTAATGCTGTTTTTCTTGTGATGTGATTCTAAAAATGTAAGTAATGATTTTAATTCTTTATGCTCCCTTGACTTTAAATCAATCTCATTTTAAGACTCAGTCTGCGTTAGCATTCTTTGTTCTTCATGTGTGATACCAATACATGTTGCTGAGGGACTAGAATTTTATTATTTGATTTATAATGGCACCCTTTCCAATAACGGCTCAGGGCAGCCAACAATAAGAACACAGAATAACTTTAAAACAGGAAAGGGACAAGAGGAGTAACACAACTTAAAAGAGAACTAGAAAAATCATGATAAAACATCTCATTCTAGTTTTGCTTGGCCAAACAGCAAAGTCTTGAAACACTTCTGAAGGATGGCAAGGCTTGGGATCTGGTGAGCCTCATGAAGGAGGAAGCTCCAGAGCTGAGAAATGACTGCTGATCTCCCATTCATTTTCATCATGCAGACCTGGTGTACTGATGGAACTTGTAAGAGGTTGCTCTTGGCTGACTTTAAGGATTGTGATGGGGCATAGAATTGACACTGCATTAGATCAGAAAGCTAGGTTTTGAAGAAACATGCAAGCGTAGGATTTTTATCAGAATTTATTTTGTACACCCTGGTATATTCATTCCCATCTTAACGCAGCAGACATGGAAAAAATAAAAACAAGCAAATATAAAAAATATTGTGTGTGCATGAATATTGTAATACATAGAATATTTAAAGGATGGCCATAAGTTTCATGCAAATCACATGTTTTATGGCCACTCAGCAGCTAAGTTTTAAAAAGTCCAACATTACAGATTTATAAATATTTTAAAGTATAAAAAAATCCTGATTCCCTACCTGAGGTTTCTCACAGGTAACCTATGCATTTCTATTCAAAACTGACAATACTGTAGACTGGATGCAAATGCAAAGTGCAAGAACCATTTCTGTATCCTGATCAGACCTTGCCAGTCTTGCAAGCAATGAGAGAAATGCTCATCACTACAAAACAATATAAAATCACTAAGATCTACTCAGAAAGACTCTTGGATTCTGCCAAATTCCAAAATCCACCCAAGGAAAACTCCATCCAACCAAATTTGATCAAGGGTTCAATGAATCTGCAAGGCACTACAATGACTTTGTGAAAGCTCCTAAATACTATTTAGAATGAAGCACCCTTTCCCATCTGTGCAGATGGTCATCTTTCTTAGAAAAATCTGTGGAAGAAATAATTAAGAGACTGAAACTGTTGAACATAGACACAGAATTTCTATGAACCACTTCTATTACTGTGAAGAAAGCTAAAAGAGCCAATCTTTCCTCTGTCACCACAGCACCAAAATCAAGGCACCAGGAGGACTCTTCTGGATCACAAAACCAAGAACAAATCAGTTACGCTCAGCTGTAAAACATAGAATCTTTCTTATTTTGCTGAATCACTACAAAGAGGATCAAATGCATCTAGCATAGCTTCAAAATTACCCAGAAAATCAGCCAAAAGCAGGTTCAAATGCACCACGCTCTCTTTCCAAGAATATGTTCCATTCAGACATGTAGTAAAGAAAGCATTAATTCATCACAGCCATCTGCCCCGCTAAACTCAGCTCTTCCTGCATGACCCACACTATAAAGGTGATTGCCAACACTACCTTTGAAGAAACAGAATTACTGACTACTGTTAAACATGCAGTAGTCAGACCGTTCTAAAGAAACTACTGCTTGATGCTAGCTATCTCATAAGCTATTGCCCTGTGCCCAAACAACTTCACTCTTCTCAAATAAGCAGACTGATAAGTAGGGACCTACCAAAAGTGTACGATTTTTGCAGAGTATGCGAAAACAGGTGTTTTCCCAAGAAAAATTGTGGGCTAGCTGCAAAAAACCAAAAGCCATGCCCCTCTCCCCCACTAAATAAACCCAAAAAGGCCTTTAACGGCAAGCAGAGGGAAGCCCTGCAAGTCTTAGAGCACAGGGGTAGGGGGAGGAGAGGGGAAGAGGGGGGTGGGGGGCAGGCAGGGCTGCTTGTAGCAAGCAGTGGGGAGGCTACAAGCAGCCCGGGCTCCATAGTTAGTGGCAGAGGTCTGCCCAGGCCCCAGCTGGCTATGGCAGGCAGCTGCTTGCAGGCTACCTGCCACCTACTGTGAGCAGTCTGGGTTCTGTGGCTGGCAGCAGGGGCTTGCCTCGGCCCAGCCCAGCTGTGGCAGGCAGCCGGGAGGCTGCAAGTGGCTGTACCAGGCTCCATGCTGGCAGTGGGTGCACATGCACTTTGGGGCTGACTACAGAGAAGGGGTTGAAGGCAGTGTAACCCTGGCCCCTTCCCTGCTGCTGCCCAAGGTGTGTATGCACCCGTTGTTAGAAAGGACTCTATGGAGGCTGGTGCAGCTGCTTGGGGATGACCTCAAACCATGGCTTAATTACCCTAAGCCCAGGGAAACCACTAATCCACGCTTAGCAATATGTGAATTAATGACTTCCCCAGGCTGAATCGGGGTAATTAAGCCACAGTTTCAGGCCATCTGGCAATCTGCAGGGAAGGGTGAGGTCCCTGGGGCTGCTTGGCCAGAGGCGTGGTGGGGGTCCACTGTCCTCAGCCTGTAAAAAATGCAGCCGGCCACATGATCTGCAAAATTGGCTGGCAGCCTCCTCAAGATAGGTAGATCCATATTGATAAGGTAGTGAAAATCAGGTTCCAAGGCCAGAAGACCCATGATCCCCCTAGGTCTGTTCCATGATTTTTCTTTATGGTGGCTATCTGCCCGTAGCTTGTCAAATTAATTAGTTGAGAGGGATCTGTCTGGCCTAATATGCCTAAACAGTGATGGCAGCAAAAGAATTCCCACCTCTGGCTGTGAAAGTGTGCAACTTTTTGGCAAATCTTAAGTGAGACAGACCTGGGCATAGTGACGTACACGTTCATAACCTCCAGGCTGGATTATCCTGCCTAAAAATAAAATTGCACATGCTGAGCTCTGCCTGGTACAGAACATGGACCACAATCTGTTAAACAAACACTGGTCACCACTGCACATTACTCTGGTGTTCTCCTTTTTGGGCTGCATTCCTATAACTTGACTATAAAGTTCAATGTGTCTGTCCTAACAAAAATACTTCCTGGGGTTGATCCTAGCTATCTGAGAAATTGTCTTTTTCCCCCGATGACACCTAAACTTGGTGGAAACATTCAGGCTGTAGATGGAAATTCTGAGGAGTAAAGTTTTCCACAGAGGGGAGCTAGACTGTAGAATTTACTAAACCACATTTTGTGCCTTCTTCTTTCTGGGCTATCCCAGGGATTTAGCTCAGGCAGCCATGGAAAACTGCCCAAATGACCGCAACCTGTCCAGGCCTGCTTATGGGCAATACTAGTACCCAGAACTGCTGTAGCATTATATGCTACAACTCCAGTGCCTCCCATTCTGCTTCTGCACTGGCCAGCTGGTTAAGCTGAAATATTCTGGAATTCATGAAGGGGTCTTCTGAAGATAGCCTGCAGCCATCTCTCTCAAATCCTGGATTGCATAAAGTTTCCGTGCATTGGATCAAATGCCTTGAGTCTCTCTTCTGCTGCACTGGTGTTTTTACCTACTGTACAGCAGCAAAGGCATCACCTAGAATATATAACCATTATCATCCTAAAAGCTTGAATCTGGAAGGTGCTGAACTTTCCAAATTTCCACAAAGCACAAGGGAATTAGGAGCACTCACAGGTTGTGTGCAGAATCATGAAATGGTGGGCCATAAATTGGTTATTCACTAGCATTTGCCTCAGACTACAGGCTATGAAAACCCTTGTTAAATGCAACATAGCCTCTTTGCACATTTATGGCTTCATTCAGTTGGTCTGCTCTAATGTAAAGAACACCCTCCCCAACAGCGACTGTAAATTTAAATATCCCTTGCATACTAAGAAAGAGTGTCTTCCTGTTGTACTAACAAAGACTCATACTGTACATTAATCCCAATGGAAAAAGGGAGTGGTCACAGCTGCAAGTATGACTAATAACTGACACAGTCTTGTGGCAGATGGCAAACAAATTGTCCCAGAAAAATCAGTGTAGTTAGCATTTTTTCTAGGCAACTATTGTATTCATAAAAAAAAAAATTCTGTGGAGAATGAAATAGGAATTTTTACTTACTGATACAAGAAATGAGATCATTAAATCTTTCCTTAGGAAAGACAGGATTTTCCAGCCCTCGGAAATAGAGCTTCAGTACTCCAGCAACTGAGTTAATGTCATGGTTACTTTGGTCATCTGCCAAAGGATTTTCACCTTGAAAATAAAATAAAGTAAGTGAAACAGAAGAAACCCTTCTTGCTTAATAGTATTTTGTATAAATGATGAAGCTTGTTTGTTTTGCTAGCTGGTTTGTTTTTTTGGGTTTTGTTTTGTTTTGTTTTTTTTTACTGTGCGGCAAGCCGCACAGAAGTAATCTAATAAATACTGGTCTGGAAATTCCACCCTAAAATTAAACCAAACATAGCTTAGGTCATGAAGTTCAGAATCAATATTTTTGGGACACATTATGATTTTTAGCTAGTGAAATAAAAAACGATTGAGTGTTCTCACTTAAACAGAACTTAAGACTATTCTTTAGTAACTTACATTATACATAAAGTTAAAAGATTTCTCTGGGGTTCAAAAGTATTTAAGAAGATTCAGGAATATATGCACTGCATAACTCTATAAGCAAACTGCATAACTGAAGAACGTATAATTTTATAGACTAAATTGTATTCTAAAAGATTCATAGATTTATTACACAGCTTCCAGTCCAATGGTTCCCTAGGAAAACAGTTACAGTTCAGTAAAGCGACAGACTACAAATGTGGACATAGAGAGGGTACTGCATCATTTCTCATGTAAAAAAACTACTACAAATGTCTACTCAAGTATCAGAACTGATTTTTACAAGGTACGCAGCTCATACACAAGAGTAAAAATATCATCTACACTTCCTTCTGGCTGCTAGTTACAAGTCAGTTATTCTCCAAGGCTCTCTGTCATTAAAAGGTGTTCTACAATGGTTTTCCTGGAAACTGAAAAATGGTTTGTAAGATCCCGTGAGAAAGGATGTGGCTTTATAAAAATGTAATTACTGCTCTATTTTAACACAGGTTTAGAATTTCTATCTTCAAATTCCAATTCCTTTGCCAGGTGTGACAAGACAACAATTGTAGACTAAGGCAGGTTGAATACCATTCAGGTTTGCAGACAGGTCTCTAAAAATGTCCAGTCATTGTGCAGCAGCAACCAAAAAGGCAACAAAATGTTGGGCATCTTTAAGAAGGGAACAGAAAGCATCATCATGCCATCATACAAATCCATGGTGAACTCACACCTTGAATAGTGTGTGCAGTTTTGGTCTTTGTATCTCAAAAAGGATATAGTAGAATTAGAAAAGGTACAGAAAATGGCAATCAAAATGATCAGGTGTATGGAGCAGTTGCCATATTAAGGGAGACTAAAAAGGCTAGGACTCTTCAGATTGGAAAGAAGGCTGAGGAGGGATGGGATAGAGGTCTGTAAGATTATAAAATATGTGGACAAAGCAAACAGGGAGTTGCTGTTCACCAAGTCCCAGAATACTAGAACTAGGGGACACCCACTAAAATACATGTGTCAGATTTAAAACTAACAAGGAAAGTATTTTTTATGCAACACATAGTTAACTGTGGAATATATTGTCACAGGAGGTGGTGGAGGAAGATAGCATAGCCAACAGAAAATTCAAAAAGGAAGTAGGCAAATTCATGGATAATAGATCTATTAACAGCTGCTGAACAGATTGGTTGGAGTTATTTCCTCTGGCATCTCTAAACAAATGATAGTGGATGTCACAGAAGGTAATGAATAGGGGATAGATCACTCTAGATCTATCCAGTTCAGTGCTCTCTCTCTAGCATCTACTTATGCCATTGGTCTGACCAAGTATAGCACTTCTTAAATTATGTTCATCTCCTTGTATCCTTTGTACATATTCTCTGGGTTTGAAGTTTCCTTAGGACTGAAAACAGTGGTGTAAAATAGAATAATTTCTTTCTGACCAATATTATGCATTGTTCGTGATGTCACTTTGGCAATGGAACTAGAAGGTATAGTAGTTACAAGATGCAACTACAGCAGCCTCAAACTGTGTTAAGTATTGTTCTGAATATCCATTTAAAAATAAAATCTTTCCCCTTTTGAGAATTTTTAAAATAGAAAGAAGTCAAAGAGAAGGCATCTTATGCAGTTCATCACTGACAAAATAAACTTTAAAGCAAGAGTCGCAAGGTTTGTCTACACGTTTAACACAACATAATTGTATGTTCCCGGTGATACAGGAAGTAAAACATGTAATAAATCATTATTTTACCCTAGAAATAAAAATACAGATCTTCAAATTGCTAGGTTCAGCATATAGAGTACATGCAAACAGCTTACAAATCCATGAGAATTACTAACATTTTAACAGATTTTTTTCAAGAATGGTATCTCAGGCCACTGATACCGACGAAAATACAATTACCTCTTTCAAATGAATTTTTAATATCATTGACTTCCACTTGGGAACCAGACACTCTGAAAATTCCCTGATGTTGAAGACCTGAAAAAAAAGGTGGGGAGGGATGATGGGAAACAAGAACTTATTAAAAATACTTTTTTAAAAGTAGAGTAAAAACAACAAGATAAATGCCTTGTACAAAATGGCCAGGCAGTAATTGAATGACATGTCATATTTCAGAGCTTACCATATAAATTGATAAATCTGATACAGCTTTCCACTATGAGGGGAATGACTTGTCCCAAATCCTGGGGAAACAAAATTATAAGAAGATACTGCAAACTGAAACAGAACCTCCCCCAAATTGTCTGCAAAAACAGATAGTATTGTAATTCAAGACAGACTCCGTAGGGTCAAGCAACAAAAAAAAAGACTTGCAAACAAAATTTCTCCCTCACTTTTGCTAGGATGCAAAAAAGTAATACGATTCTGATAAAAAACATCAAATCAAGGACATTCAGAGTGCCAGCTGAAACTTCATCCTCAGCGTATCTTATTGCATCAGGTTAACTTAAGACATATAAAAAGATATAAAACTGACTTTCATGCATTTATTTTAGATTTTTAAAGCAAAATGAGTTAAGCAATGAATTTCCTGGATTTTCAATAGGTTATTAATGTTAACATAATGAACATGATGCTTGTGCATTCATTCACCTCCTCTTTAATAACAGTAGTGCATTTTACATGCTATTGGACCAAATTCTTCTGGGTGTTTCCTTGTAGGGACAGGCTTGGAAGGCTGGGAAATGGGATGTAGTGCTATAGTGCTTCTGGCAAGTCAGAATAGCTTCTCCATAGACAAGAGCCACCAAGAACCATTATGCAAGGCTGTCCTACTTCCTTTGCTCAGTAGATCAAGCATGTCCCCTCAGACCCTAGATGGGCAGTATGAAACTGAGGTGAGGCTTGAACCCCTGTGTTGGCAGGGGAAGCAGACACATCATATATCTGGACTTTAAAAAAGCCTTTGATCTGGTGTTCCAGGATTTCATGGAAAAATTGGCCAACTGTGGCCTTGGCTACACCACAGTCCAATGGCTGGGAAACTGGCTCTGGGGTCGGACCCAGAGAGTAGTAGTCAATGGAAGCGAATCATTATGGCGCTCCATGATCAGTGGCATCCTGCAAGGCTCTGTCCCTGGACCAGTTCTCTTTAACATCTTTATCAACGATGTGGACATTGGTGTCAGAAGTGCACTGGCCAAGTTCGCTGATGACACTAAACTTTGGGGGATAGCATCCACACCTGAGGATAGGCTAGTGATCCAGGCTGACTTGGATAAGCTTATTAAGTGCGCGGATATAAACCTGATGATGTTCAATACCAGAAAATGCAAGGTACTGCACCTCAGGAAAAAAACCTGCAGCATGCTTATAGGCTTGGCAGTGCTACGCTTGCTAGCACCACAGCTGAAAGAGACTTGGGGGTCATGATTGACCACAAGATGAACATAAGCCACCAATGCGATGTCGCAGCTGGCAAAACAAACAAAACTCTGGCTTGCGTCCATAGATGCTTCTCAACTAAATTCTAGGATGTCATCCTCCCACTGTACTTGGCCTTGGTGAGGCCGCAGCTGGAGTACTGCATCCAATTCTGGGATCCACAATTCAAGAAGGACGTCAAGAAGCTTGAGAGAGTCCAGAGGAGAGCCACACGCATGATCAGAGGGCAACAGAACAGGCCTTATGATGAGAAGCTGGGAGCCATGGGACTCTTCAGCCTGGAAAAGTGCAGGCTCAGCAGTGACCCAGTGGCTGCCTATAAGTACATAAGGGTTGTACATCAGGATCTGGGGGAACGTCTGTTCACCAGAGTGCCTCAAGAGATGACAAGGACCAATGGTCATATACTCCTCCAAGACCGTTTTAGGCTGGACATAAGGAAAAACTACTTTACTGTGTGAGCCCCCAACGCCTGGAATAGACTCCCTCCAGAAGTGGTGCAGGCACCTACTCTGGACTCATTCAAGAAATATTTGGATGCTTATCTTGCTGGGATCCTTTGACCCTAGCTGACTTCCTGCCTCCAGGGCAGGGGGCTGGACTTGATCGTCAAGGTCTCTTCCAGCACTAATGTCTATGGAATCTATTAAATCTATGAAACATAAATGGGAAGGGTCGGGGAACCTGCCCCCACCAATGCCATGACTGCTGTTGCTAGCTACCCTGGAGGCTAGGGGTGAGGGGGCAAAGCCGCTCCAATCGGGAGCTGTGGGAAGCAGCCGCATGGGGTGCCAGGCTGGGAACAGCAACAGAACAGTTTCTATCTTCCAGCCCTTGCTACCTGCCTGCCCTCCCACTCAGTGTCCTCTGCTGGCTGGGAGCAGGCACTGGATGTAGGAACCTGCCTGACACTGCTGCTGCTGTCCACGGGAAGCCCATATCCCTGCAGAGCTGCTCCCTTCAGTGTGGATTCCGGGGCTTCCTGTGCCTGCATCAGCTCAGGACAGTGGTGCTGGCACACAGGTTCCTCCTTCCAGCATCTGGCCCCAGCCACCGGTTGTGGGGAGGAGGGGGAGACAGACACCAGTGCAGAAGGGACAGGTAGGGAGTGGGAGCTGGAAGGAGGAACCTGTTCATCGCTGCTGTTGTCCCCTGTTGGGCATGAGATCCTCCACAATCACAGCCTGTGGCCGGAATGTAACAGGAGCAGTTTGGGGGCTCCCTCTGCACTAATATCAGTGGTGGCAGTGGAGAAAGAGGGTGTGGCTGCATGGCCTTGGACCCATCCTGGGGCACAGACATTAATGAGTAGCTTTAGAAGCACATGTTCCTCCTCTGTGGAAATCCATTATGTGTTTCCATTGTCAGGAGAACCTAGACTAAAAGAGAGGTGAGATGCACCATTTTCTCTCTTTTGAGGCTGATCCTCAGTTCATTTTAATGGGATTATGAACAGGAATTAATACTGATATGGAACATACTGAAGGGTCTGAACCTTCCATTTCTAAAGTATTTCGCCTTTGGCAACTTGAATCACTACCGTGGAATTAATTCTGTTTCATTAAAAGAATGATCATTAAGAAAAGGAACTGTGGGTGGCAGAAAGGCAGTATTTGACCAGAAGTATTATTTGCCTGTTTTGCTAAAGCATATTAAAGGGCTGTATAGTCTTTAGTCTCTATATTTTGGAATTTAAAAAAAATGGATACTATTTACCACAGAGATGTTAATAGCTCTGAAAAAGTTATCAGTAATGCACTGAGGACATGAATCATTACAATTAAAGATATTTTTCAGAATATGTTACAGTTTATGCTTGAAAAATGACATTTTTATAATGAATAGGTACCTTCAAAGGTTAATTATCTTGGAAGCAATCAATTTTTTAAAAGAAATTGCAAATATTAATTGTTTAGTCTATGAACGAATTCACTTTAAAGCAGTTGCAAAAAAGGAGTTACAAAAGCATAAGTAAGACAAAGGAAAAAAACCTGGCATCTCAAAATATACACCCTTTTTCTTTTCCTGTTACAAATGAGTCCTTCATTTCTGTGACAAAACTAAATTAAAAGGAAAGGAAGGAGGGTTAGGATTAAGGCCAGACAGAGCCCCTCCAAGCCAAGCCTCTACAATTTTCTGTCCAATTTACTACTGACAGGAGTAGGCAAATATAGATATTTTTATATACATGAAAAAATAGTGAAATCTGGTACAATATACTTGATGAAATGGCTTAACTACTGTTTTGGTGTGCTTAATTGTAATGCTTTACTGGATTTATCTCTCTTGATCCCAGCAATTAGGCTATTTTAAATAATGGGAATTTCCATATTTTACTTTAAAAATCTAAAAAGCTGCTTTGTTTTTTAAGACTAGAGAAAACTGGATAGCAATGAATTAACAAAAGCACCTGCACCCAAAATCACGTTTTACGTTGTATAGCGATTTGGCAACAATTAGATTAATTCTGTACCAGTAAAATAAGAAACAATCCAGTTGCTAATCTGGAAATACAGCAGCCCTTAAAAATGAGTACCTTGACTGTCAGTGCATAAGAACAGCGTATTAGAATACATACAGCACATTTACTGTTAGCACATTACTATGCAGGAATGTAAAACTGCTAAAAGGGGGTTGTTTGCAGTAAGAAATTACTAACATAAAAATGACTTTGTTGTAAGGCACAGTTTTTAGAGCCTTCTTACAGAGCTGAAATGTTGACTCTGTCCATACTACCACAATTGTCCAGCTTCTTTGCTAAACAAAAGTAATGGCTCTGAGATTTTTGATCTATTTGCTGGAAAATAATTTGTTATGAATCTGATTTTGTTAGGTGTCCCAAACACTGACCCCTGCCACTCATATGAACTCAGATGTAATATTTGTTATGAACAGATACCTTCTGTAGACTGATAATCATGTCTGAAGTCAGTTATGTGATAAAGAAATACTTTTCTTTAGCTGTAAACCTGTTGTAGGGTAGGTCAAAATGATTCAATTCTTCCACAGTAAAAGTTTAGCCTTTGACTTGGGACACTGCCCCCCAAACGTTATTGAATAATCTGTCATTAGGATTTTTGTTACCCCCCTGCAGAGCTGGCATTATTTGGAACTGGCTCTTCCTTCGGGGTTAAGTTTTGTTACTGACCTCTTCCAAGAGCTCCTATTTCAAGAGCAGGATTGCAGTGTAGGGCAGAAATGATCATGAAATTTTATCTTTAAATTTGGGTGTGCTAATTCCTGGTTTACTCTTATTTCTGTATAGGTAATTTTTGATGAACTAATGTTTATCTCTTGCACAATATGCTGTATCTTATACTGCATGTCTCTATCACACAAAGACATTTTTGTAATATCATCAGTCTCCAGTACAGTTGCACAGGTGTTACTGAAAGCTCAGTCAGAAGATGGTCGGACAGCAGTGGTGCAACTGAAAGTGGAATGTGTTCTGCAAAGTATGTATTTACTATTAGTGATGATACATAACAAGGAAAGGAAGGTTGACAGCTAAGATAACCTTTTTAAAAATTTAATTGCTGAACTAAACCATGGGGCTTTAGAACACGTCACACTTAGGATGTTAACTGCACTTAAAATGTGAGCATCTGCACACTCAAGCAGTAAAACACGTGCTAATTACAACTGGATCATTCTAAGTGTGATTGTATTGTAGCAAAGTTAGGACTCCTTGGGGGATGAGCATCTCCAGATCATATTAATACATGTTCACTTACTGTCCTACCACCCCATGGAAACAATACCAGCAGTTTGCTGGTCGTTGGTCCTAGCACCAGCACTGCACCAGAGTTGTGAACTAGACCCCAGGTTTGTGACCAGCAATGGGCTCCAATGTAATGCCAGGGCTGGGACCAATTAGATGACTCAGTCCCAGCTCCCACACCACACTGGAGTCTTGAATCAGCTCTGGTGCTGTGTCGCATTGTTACGTTATACTTAGCACAGTGTAGTAAACACTACCATGAGACTGCTCAGAACATATATAACTTTTAATACAGCATGGTAATGCCCATCACAATCTAAGTAAAACACGTGCTAAGTATCCTGTACTCCTTATTCACTGGAAGCTTACTTTCTTCTTTAACATGGAACATTTGACTGCAAGTCTACCACTAGTTTTTGATTGGTGATTAGAGGCTAATGTAAGAGAGACTATTTATAATTGGAAGCTCATCACTCCATGACCTAGAAGTACAGCAGGCAAAATTGAACCAATCTAATTTCTTAATGCAAACTTCCCCTTCCAGGTTATCAGGAAAGCTAATTTCAAGCCAGGCATAAATTAAATCCGATAGTGAGGAAGAGGCAGCTTTGTTTCCACTAGAACTATACCTGATGTCTGGTGTGAGAATTCCTTCGTCCTCGACTAGAAGCATTATTAGAAATAGGAGCATGAAAAAGAAGAAGATAGTAAATACAGCAAAGATACAAGGCACAGAATAGTGATCCTCAAAATTCCACACAATATAATTGATTCCTAAAGTCACGGGAAATCAAAACCTGATTTCAGAGCCACCATCATATTGGTTCTATGTGGGGTTCTGATTTAATTCAAGTAAATCTGCAAACAGTAAATCATGTCAGTTAGAGGAATATAAGATTACATCTTTTCTTTTAATGAACCACAGATTCCTAAAAAAACTGAAAAAACCCCAACCCCAGGCAGTCACTACCATCTGTACTTTGATTAAAGAAACTGTAAGGGATGTAAATGTAAATAATGTATTCTCCTCTTTCCCTCTGACTTCAGGAAGTATTATATTGATCAGCGGGGAAAGAAAAGAACCCCAAGAAAGACTTGAATATAATGATCTACCTCAGCTCACATGAGGTTTTGACCATTATAGTAAGAACTGTTGAGAGCTGCCACCCAGATGGCTGGTGCCAGTACCTTGATGAATGATTCCAAATCACCATTAAACAACTTAGCATTATATTGTGATCGGGGTCTGGGCTTCCTGTGTTTCTGGGGTTTAGGGGGAAGATTTGGAGGCCTAAGGGAAGGGAATATAATTACTGAGCAAGGTAGAATTAAGTCATGCGATAATATAAAATATCCATTAAGCCCATGACAATAAAATAAAATGCTGATGGGGAAAGGGGAAAACAAAATCAGCATTTGTCAAATAAAGACATTTCACAATATTTAAGTGTAATATAATTAGTTAAAGAAGAGGAAAAAACCTTGCAATAAATAATGTTCTCATGGATAATTCTGACATTCTTCACAAATTCTGAGCTATAGTTTTACTCAACCCATTTCTTCAAACACCGAATGACTGAAACAGCTTAATGTTGTGTTGCCATGCATAAACCATGCAGCAGTAACTGCCATCCAGCCTGCCAACCCCAGCATGATCCACCAGTCTGCTAAGCACCTCTTTTATCAAGCAGACAAGTTGTCTCAAGCTGGATAAACTTTAACTGCAAATAAGAGCTGCTCATCACACCCCTCCCCCACTTCAAAAACAAAATTGTGGACATTTCCAAGTAACTGTTAAACAGCTTTAGCCTCCCACATCCATACAGTCAACATCTTTTCACAAGGAAAGAAACTTTGCAAATTAGCTGGAGGAATTAAAGAACACCAGCAACATAAAAACAAAAACAACCCCCCACACAACATCTTTGCAAGATGTCTTCCTAGTATCGTTACACAAAACACATCTGATGACTATAACTCAAAGAGATTACAGAAATAAGTGTTTCTCTCTTAACTCAGTTTGTTTAGTTTGTGCGCTTGACAGCACTGCGTGTCTAATCAATTACCATTTCCCCTACAGAGCCAATCAGATTAACTGGTTTCTATGGTTCTTCAGGCAGGAGCAGAGAACATTATTATACTTCAAAAAGTGGCTCCAGGTATCTGGCTCGGTGTACTATTCAAAACGACTTAACTCAGCTTTAAAGAAGGCCTCTACCCTTGAAGATGTTTTTTTACAGAAGTGCTTTAGCAGAAGCAAAAACTATACCTGAGCAGAGCTAGCTGCCTTATGAAAAAAACAGTATGGACTATTTCCATCCATTGCTATCAGATGGGAGACTTGCCTGGACTCCGAAGAAACAGGAAAGTAAGCTTTGAGAGGACATCATTAGTTCCCTGCTCTAGGCAGGATCTTTCTTGACTAAACCACAAGGAAGTGGGAAAGCTGGCTTGGGAATGCAGGGTATACAGCATATTTCTTGAGAGCTCTACCCATCACTACCTGGCCAGAGTAAGGAGGAGCTGACTGGCCTTTCCAACTCCTCAATTTGTTAATTTAAAGCACTGGCCTTTTTGGAACATATTGCCCTTCCCTCACTGTCTCTGATTGTAGTATAGGAGTTGTGTCTTTGGATGTTACAGCGGTGACTGATCCCTCCTTTGTGGTGAGGAGGGATTTTTTTGTAGTGGCCTGGTGGTTCTTTCACTTTCCTTGCAAAATCTGGGAGTCAATTAACTGAAGCAGCACTTAGACAATAATGTCAGAAGTTTGCAGGAATGGTTAGTTTGTCACAGCCTGCAGCTGGGGCTGAGTGTGAAAAAGGCAAAAAGGACCAGTTCCCAGAGGTAAAGGAGACCTGGGATTTTGCTGAAGTCTTTGCAGAGAGTGGTCCCCCTTTGGCACTCTTAGTCCACCTGCTCATGGGGTCAGGAAGAGGACAAAAGGATTTGAGAGAGACAACTGATGGGCAGAACAGAATCTATGTAGAATTATGGGTAGTATGGTGGGATGCCTGTAACCCCTTGCACTAGACGCATTAAAATACCTGCTACAGGAGAACTAAGGAAGTCAGGGCAGATGGCACCTTTCCTCAGCTTTAAATTCAAGAAGGGGCAGATTTCCTCTTACTCCCTCCCCATGTTGGTTCTCATTCAATTGTATATTGTGCTCAAATGAACATAAGAAGGCAGAAAAGTTTTTGGTTATTCAAAAGTATTTCTTACCTATTCCCCAGTGAAAAAAGCTAAGTCTCCAACAGCTGTATTTCGGCACTTCACATATTTGACACTGTCCAAACAGTTCACAAGGATATTTTATAATTCCAGGAACAGATAGATTGGTTAGACCTTTGTCAATGTGCTTGCTGTAAATGCATTATCTCGGATACTAAAATGTGGAGTGCATAAACTGCTTTACAGTTTGGTTCATCATAATGTTGTTTTTGTAGTCATCAAATGCTTCATAAAGAATTGTTAATTTTTTCCATTTTTAAATTTTATTATCTCTGTAGCTGTCTACAAAATAAATGAGATAAAAACATCTTACCTTGTGGTCATGTATTCAGCTCTGTGACCTGAATGAGTCCAGTGAAGAAGAAAAAAATATCATTTGTAGATTATGGACATAGGAACTTGTTTTTGTATGCAATTATATTCATGCTCGCCAGTGTCAATGCTGTTTAACATTAAGTGAAATCATACAACATCTGCACTACAAGATAGTGCAGCACAAGCACAAGAAGATCCAGAAGATATAGAGTGGCAAATGTTGCATCTATATTTAAAAATAAAGGCTTTGGGGGCAATCTGGAGAACCAGAGGTCAATAAATCTTACATCCATCCCATATAAACAGTTAAAAGGATAATTAAAAATGAATAGTAAAACACCATGATGGTCATGATACAAGATCTAGCATGCATGGTTTCTGCAATAGGAGGTTTATGTTAGAATTCTTTGAACACTTCAGTAACTGAATGAAAAAAAAGACAATCATTTTGCTTCCTGGTACACATGCTGTGCCATGCTAAGCTTGAGAGGTGGCTATACAACTTCTGGTTTGGCAGCAGAGCATGTAAAGCAAATGTAGTATGTCTCAGTCTAGTGCTGCCTGCTGCCATTACTGAGTAGTATAGAAAGACCTATAACACATAAAAAATGGGATGAAATATAACACAAAAAATATAATACTTTTCTGCTGCATGGTATGTATCGCAGTGGTGCAGCCTCATTTAGAGGGCTTTGTGCAAGGTAGTCTCAAAAAGCATATTGCTAAACTTGGGGATAATAAAACCTTGGAAAAATTTTCATATGAAAAGGTTTAAAGGTTGGGTTTACATAAGAAAGGGGGCATGTGACAAAATAGGCAAAACAAGTAATGATAATGAGAAGGTAGTGTAAGTGATAGAATATATAGAGGTGCTTCCTAACTAGGAAGACTATAGGGGTTGAGAGTTCAGAGGTGGTGCCTCAGTTAAAGTAGTTAGTTAGAAAGATCTCAGATGCTTATTCACTGCTCCACAATTAAACTTGCTGTTAGTTCTTCTCCTTTACTGTATTTATTGGACCTGGTGATCCTTACACATAAGACAGAAACTTCTGTTCTCCTTAATCCATTTCAGAGAAATGAAAAGATGGCCAATTCAAAAGTGATTAAAGGGAACACTTCTTACACACACACTGCATACTGAAATTGTAGAACTCTCACAGGATGTCAGTAAAGCAAAATATTTAATGAGAGTTTAAAAGGGGAAGGACATTGATATGAATAACAAGAATACCCAGAATAGAATAGTTAATGCTAGCATATTCTGGAAAAGATGTTAAAAATCTGAGATTCCAGGGCTTAAACCAACCCTCTATCTATTAAATCAAGGATAAGACCTTTTGGGAAGAGCAGATTATCCCACATCTGCCTATGAAGTTTCTTGCATTTTCCTCTGAAGCTTCAGGTACTTGCCCATGTTGAAGAAATGAGGTTAGATGAAATGAAGGCTAGTTCTGAATTGGTATGGAGAGGGTGTTAGTTCTTGCTGTATTTTATTTGATTGGTTAGGAGTAATTAAAAAAATCTATTTATTAGTGTTATTTAAATAAAAAAGTCAAAGGGTATTCAGAGCATTGGATCTCTTTGTAATTTATAAAAATCCAAATAACTCTTACACTGGCTAGACAGTAAGAGTGAATAAGAATCATCTGCAATAAATGAAGCTACTTATCCATGTATATTATCTATATAAATGGAAAAATAATGAATTCAGCATACTATCCAAAATCCAAATACAGTGAAACCTGTCTAAGACAGAATTGCACCAGGCTGGGGAAAAGTTCCAGCTTAGACAGTTTTCCATCTTATGGCAAGGAACAGAGGCACCTGCTTCCCCTGGCTCCCTGATAGCCTGTCTAGCAGAGAGCTGTCAGGAAGTGCTGTCCTCTGCCCAGTACCATGGATCAGCTGATCAGCAGAAGCACAGGTGGTGGCTATTAGGATGACTGTCACCCTTTCAGTCTTTAGACCCTGGCTTTACACTTGGATTCACAGGTGCAGACTCCTGTTCTAGTGGACCTAGGGCATTCAGAAAATTTTATCTCCATATATACAAAAATATCTGAAAAAAATTGGGAAGAAAAAGCAGCATGTTTTGTACAGTACTAGTATCAAAGTATGTCCAGTAGTGTATTGTGTCTCAAATCAGAACAGACATCTTTTGTTCAATAAGCTCCATTCCCAATATTATTTTGGCCACAGATATGTTCATACAGAAAAAAAACCCCTCTCATGAGGAAATAAAGGCAGTTTATATCTTATAGTCTGATCACTGGAGCAAAATAGTGACTGGTAAAGAGATTAGGCCTATATTAATAGGGCACTGGGGCTGTACTTTCCTCCTATGCGGACTTTAAATATTTCACTGGGTTCATCGCACACCCTAGAATAATTTTTCAGTTTATTCTGCATCATTTACCTTCTCCAAGAGTCCTCTGAAGCAAGTCATGTTTTGCTTGAAGTTTTGTGATAAGATTACTCCCCTCCAGATATTCTCTGAATTTCTGCAGAGATGAAGATTTAAGGGATTATTAGATATGTCATTTAAATTCCAGGACCTTTTCAGGATTCATTTTTGGAAAAAGATGCTTCCTACAGGTGTTTGGACTCTGTCACCTGGCTGAGAAAGTACCAGACATACCATGAAATAGAACTGTTCAGTCTCTTGCTGATTAGCTCTTCTTTTTGCAATGCTGGGCTTGCTCAAGTATGTCTCTGAGACTGTTGACTTCACGGACTCTGTAGAGCGACTGTGCTGGAAACATTCCGAAACATCATAGTCCTCGATGGTGACCATGTCCTGTATTGTTTGTAAAGTAGCTTCCGTGGTTTTTTTAACCTGAGGTTAAAAGCACAATTTGTTAAAGAGAAAGGAAAATAAATCCTAGAAGCCGCTTAAAAGGCAAACTCATTACTAAAATGAATTCACTGTTGCACGCTTTCTAAATGAACTATAGTGTATTCATTTAGCAAATTAGATGCTATTTGCTGGTCGAGAAATAACACAATGAGATCGCCAGGTCCTTGGTCTAGGTCTATGCTTTAATAAGGTACAATAAAAGCAGCTATAGCAGGTATGGGCAACTGTTTTGGCTGGAGGGCCACTTAATGAGTTTTGGTGAATTGTCGAGGGCCGCAAGGGTAGCCTTTACCTTTGACAGGTGCCCCACCCCTGGTTGCCATCTTGGGACTGGAAATCCTGTCCCTAACCCCTGACCTTTGCCACCGGGAGTCCCTCCCCTTGCCCCTAAAATTACTCCTTTTGGGAAGGGAGTTTGCCATCTTGGAACCAGAAAAAAACCAAATCATATGCTAAAAATCAAACATCTACAGTAAAAGCTGCCTTAACTGGCACCTTACAAGCTGGCATGCTCTATTAACTGACATGCCGGCTTGTAAAGTAAAAGTGAAACCGGAAGTGCCCACCGTGGCACTTCCAGTTTCACTGAGCTCCCATGGCCTGGGGTATAGCAGCCTGTGGGGCCCACCTCCCTGTACCTCGGGGCCTGCAGGAAGGATGGCGATGTGGCAGTGATGTGGCGGGAAGGGGGGTGGCGACGCCCAGGACGTGGTGGGAGAGGCGGTGGCCTGAACAGGCAAAGACACCTGTTTGGGCCTCAATTAACCGGCATATTTTGTTATCTGGCACCCCCATCCCTCTGGGTGCCGGATAACAAAGCTTTTGCTGTATCATATTTAATTTTAAAAATATTTTTGTCCTTACTTACATGTGTTTGTGTAGTGTATATAGAAGCAATCACAAAATAAAGTCTTACTCCTATATATTGTGTGTGGGATGTGGTTGGGTGGCTGGATGTGTGTGTGGTAGAGTGTGTGTGGGGTGTGCCATGTGGGTGTGCAGGTACAGGGGTGTGAGTGGGTGTGGTGTTTATGGGGAAGCATGTGTGGGTATGGTGGGGTGTGTGTAACAGACACACACACAGCCATGCATGTGCCCTAAGGTGACAGCCCTCCCTGTGTGCAGGGCAAACAGACCTGCTGAGCCCTAGGGCTGTGGCTGCTGCCGACAGTGGCTTGTAGCACCTACAGCCCTGGTTACTGGACCCTCCGCTCTGCCTACCCCTGGAGACTAGAGACTGGGGACACCTGGGCCCAGGCCTGCCATGCTCCCCACCTCCCGCACTGTTTCCATGGAAGCCAGTGAGCCCCCTGGTTGCTGCAGGGTCCAGGCTTGGGGCTGCGGTATACACAAGCTCCTGGGGCCACTGCCCCCAAGCCCCAGGATTAGCGTGGCTTTGCTGGGAGAAGGCTTGATTGCAAAGGGGCTGGTCCAGGGGAGGCCACATGTGTGCAAGCAAGTCAGTGGGTGCATCCCAATCCCGTCAGCACCTCCTCCACAACTACCCAGAGCCCGTGTGCCCTGTGGCTCCTCCCTGCCACCACCAACATCACACAGCCCCAGCCCTGACCACAGCCCAGCCTGCACCCACTCTGGATTTGCCCTGGCTGCAGCGGACCAGCTGGAAACTGTGCACACAGCCCCACCCTGGCCCGCTCTGTGCCTGCTCCACACTGCCTGCTTACATTGAGCCACAGTAGCAGCTGAGCAAAACCTGCTGCTGGTGCAGGGGAAAGCAGCCCCTTCTTCTCACTGCTGCCAGGCTGTTCTTGCTGGCAGCCACCTGTAGCCCACACCCGGGCTGCCCCATGGGTCCTCTCTGCCACTGTCACTGCCACCTCTGGGCTGCCCCATGGGGCAGTGGTGGCAGTGCAGAAGAGCAGCAGGGCAGCCCAAGTGAGAGCTCCAGGTGGCTGCAGCAAGAACTGCCCAGCAGTGGTGAGAGGTAGTGCCGGCAGCCAGAAAGAGGCACTGCCACCTGAGACGCCTACAAAGGCAGTCCAGCTGCAGAGCCACCCCAGCCCCAGGGGGGCAGCAGGATGGGCCACAGGCTGGATGGCACTTCGGCCAGGTGGAACTGAGGAATCCGCTGCAGGCCAAACAAAGACTCTCTGTGGGCTGGATCTGGTCCATGGGCTGTATTTTGCCCACCAATGAGCTATTCACCTGCTGATTAATATCATCATCAGGATTCAGTCTCTTAAAGTAAAAGTGGGAAAATGTGATGGTTATTTAATGAGTAGCCATAAGTAGCATTTGAATCAACAGAAATAGACTTGGTGCACTGATCTGTACTGTCAGCTGTCCAGATTACAGAAGGCAGAAGTATCCCTGCTGCTGGAGCTGACAGTACCACATGCACTCCCATGAGAAAAATTAGTTCAGCAGTGCTGATATGGAATGAAATATGTTATAATAGTGATGTTTATGACTTAAGGGTGCAACATGGCACAGGAAATGGAAGAAAGTGCAACTTCCACACCTATTACAGCATCTACCATTAGATGCAGAATTAGGTAGATAGGAGACAGGAGGGATTAGAAATGAAATGAGAAATTCTGCATCTCTGCAGTAAAAAAAATCAGCTGAAAGAATCTGCAAGCCAGTACACAAACATCTAAGGTCTGCTGTGGGGAAGGTGAAGCTAGTGACCTCCTTGCCTCCAGAAAGACATTTTTTCTATGTGTTTCCTTTTCTAGAGGCACTTTCCTCTTTGTGACTGTTCCCTCATTAGTGTACTCTGGCTTACCACCATGAGCTCCCGCTTCTCTTTATGTCTTTGCACTGATTTGGTGAATAACCAAAAGCCCTTCCTGATCCTGCACTTACCTTCTCTCGCCTATATCTTCCCAACTGTGAACTTGATCTGCTATCTGAATTTTAATTTTAATTAGTCTACTGGCTACATGAGGTGAACACAAGTGTTTTGACTCTGATTCAGGCATTCATGCTGTAAATAGAGAAAGAAAATAATACAGCTTTTGGGGACAGACTTGCACTTATGCTAAGACCGCCTTTTACTGCTCTTTTACTACGTATGCCATTAACCAAGACATGTATATAGTTCTACCTGAGAACAAAGCAATGATTCTGCCTCTGCTATCAAAGATAGAGTTGAAATTCCTTCATCCTTTGAAGCAGTTTCTCTTCTGGTCAGGAGATGGGGAGAGGGCAAGTATGTGAGAGTTATTCTGAATGCAGTGGCTTCCTGGCACAAAACTTCTTAATTGCATATGCACTGTGACATGTTTTAAACACAAATTTCAGTGCTTTTTCCATTTTGAAGGGAAATAGATGGGATTTTCAAAGGGCCCAACGGCAGCTAAGTTACCTAAATCAATACAAATTGTACACTTTCAGGATTTAGAAACCTTTGAAAAGTTGCCATTAAGTTGTTATAAACACCTACTTTATCTGGAGTAGGGCCTTTTCTAACCGAATGAAGGACGTGTGCATAAAACAATGGTGTTTTCGTTCTGGTTCCTTACTACAGATAACAACTGGAACAACTACAGTCCTCCTTTCTTTGATCTACTGGACTAAATCCAGCACTGATGTATGTTTAGTATAATTCCTAAATTAATGGGATTGCACAGGCAGAATATAAAGGCATCTGGTGTATAGTTTTTAAAAACTCAAATGTGTAGAGTTTTTAAATAAAAATGGTATAGATTTAAACCACTGTCATCTACATTATCTTTCTTGGCTTCTGACACTGGAGAAACTAGCTACTCTCCTAAGCTGTTGTTAATTACACATTATAAACAGACAGATCTCACCTCTTCATTTTCAATTTTAAGTGTGGCCAGACGTGATTGTAGCTGTTGGTACCTCAGCATAAGCTCTGCTTGTACTGGTTGCTGGGCAGTGACCTGACAAACCTATCAAAGAAGCAAAAATGGCTGTGAGACTCAAGGAAAAAAATTCAACTGACCAACACAAGCTGGGGTTACTGTCTTTAGAACTCAAGAACCTACTGAAAATATAAATTAAGCTATAAACAAGTGATTTCAAACATGCAAATCTTAATTTAAAAATATATATATGGTTGTGGGAGCTGGACTCTGAAAAAATGAGAGACTCAGAGACTAGAAGCACAGTATTATCAAAAACATTGAGAATTCCATGGATAGCAATCATCTGATGACTGGATATTGGAGAAGACTGGTGTGACAAGAGATTTTAGCATCACCATTAAGGAAAGGAAGCTAAAACTCTTTGGACATGTGGTTAACAAATAGGGTCAGGGATGATCAGGGGATCTAGCAGGGGGCTCATCTAGACGACCTCATCAACTCCCTTCCAGACCTATTCTCCTATGATCCAGAAAAGTGTGGATAAGCAGCATAAGGGAGTGGACAGAACTGAAGATCAATCGGGTAAGATTAGTAGTGAAGAGATAACTGTGGAGAGATCTGGCTTATTGGGTCACCAATCCTCAAATCACAGATGCATTATAAGCTGTAGATATATTCTAAATATATGTAGTGGCATTGATATTTCTCTCTACTATGGTTGCTTTGTGCTGCTCCAATGTCACCTAACCATGTAATCTCAGGAGGTTCCCTATTGGAAGGGAAATCCTCAGCTGTCAGTGCTCTGTGCAACTGGCCTCTTGTGTAACAGAAATAGGGAACAGTTGGAGATCCTTTGTGTCCTGATAACATTCAGATCATAAAATGGTCCATCGAGGCCACTGTTAGTCAAGCAAAGTTTAGAGCAAGTCTGAGACTGCTTTAAGTTTACATACAAAGGCCAGAATAGGGATAGCCGTAGTGATGATAACACACCAATATTTCCTCTGTTCCTGTGTTGAACACAGCTTGACTAGAGAAGAAAATCTTGTAGAAGGCAGGGTAGATTTGCACCTTGTAACCTAATCAAAGTAAATAGATATACATAGTACAAGATTTCTTGGGATAAAGCTCACTTTATCATATGCTGTAAAGAAATTTTTGGCCACCAGCATTGTGTGTAAATGTGTAAATCAGGAAATGAAACCTTTTGAAGACTAAGAAACATGCTATTCAGAGTTACTCAGAATACTTCTCACATAAAACAACCCTTTTTCTTACGTTTTATATTCCACAATAATACTTTCTATGAAAGTATTTCTATGAAAGTATTATTGTGGAATATAAAACGTAAGAAAAAGGGTTGTTTTATGTGAGAAGTATTCCAAGTAGCTCTGAATAGCATGTTTCTTAGTCTTCAAAAGGTTTCATTTCCTGATTTACACATGTCTTTGTAATAATACTGGCTAGACTCTTTGTAAAAGTAAATATAAAGCTTCCTCCTGAAGAAAAGAAAACAGAATTCTACAGACATGAAAACTTCCCTGGTGGGAGACAGGTATTACTGTTTGTGTTGATCTTATTTTTCTCCAAGAAGTCACCAACAACTTACCTCATCACCCATATGAGACTGGAACTCAAATTTCATTGGTGGGCAAAAGGCAGTGGGGTACATCTCCATAAATCTCTGCTTATCACTTCGTGGCTCCAAGCTGTCAACAGCATTTTCAATAATGTCTAGACCCTCATGTCTGGAGGTTTCAAGATTATACTCTGCAGAGAGATATGTTCTTAGGGCTCTGTTCAGACTTGCATGATATCCAAGATCGCAACACTAATAACACAAAAAAGGAAAAGGAAACAAAAATCAGGAACAAAATTTCCTGGCTATGACATAAAAAAAAGCGTACATAACCACTAGCACTTACAGTGTCACAATTATTTTCATCTTGAAAACTCTTTACAAATAACAGCCTTCACAACCGCAATGCCAAGAGAGTTAGTAATAATTATCTCCATTTTACAAAGGAAGAAATGGAAGATTAAAAGAAAGTTTTGGAAGAGAACAGAGCTTCACACACAAAAGCATGGAATGCTCACGGGGATTTCAATCTAATTTTTTTACTGAACCTATTGATTCCTTTCAAAACCCAGCCATATATGATTTCTCCAAGATAATACAGCAAGTAATTTGTGTAGCCCAGTAACATAACTATGGGTGGGGGGGGGACACCATCAGAGGTGCCAATTTGGGATAGGGTGCCATCAGAGGTGCCAATTTGCTGAACCAGCTGCTGCCTCTGCCACTTTGTTGCTGCTGCTCAGGGTATGGGACCACCCAGCTACACTTTAGTAAAGCCAGCATTAAAAACTGCAGAGCTGCTGTTTGGTATTCCTGTGCTTAAATTAAATAGCTAATGACTCCCCTCTGTCTGAGCTGTTTTGGTTTAAAAGAAAACAAATTCTCCACTAAACAAAGAATAAATATATATTTAGCATATATATTTTTCCAACTATTTAAGTTGGTCTAATAAAAGAGATCAGATTCACCCAAAGAACCTTGTTTGCCTATTTAGCATATATACACTATATTCCGTGTTTTAGATAAATCCAGCACTGAATGTCATGATGAAAAAGCAAAAATTTATTCCTTTTCTTCTAAGGGTTATGATGATGTTAGAACTAAGTGAAATTTAATTGGTAAAATGTAAACTAAATTTGTTGCTTAATTAAACATCTTTGGCTTAAGCTATTCCTATTTTAGGTAACAGTTAAATTTATTTACAAAAAATGGAATACCAGTAGCATACATGGTGATTTCATTTTTTCAGTGTTCAATCAACAATATTCTAAGTGTCTGCTAAGCGATCATACTGCAGCTACTATTATTCATCTGGATGGTGGTCTGCTTACAGCAGCATACCAGTGATACCATTCATCAGTGCTGATTTTTTAAAAATTACAGGAAATTTAACTAATTAAATGAATTAATGTTTTACTTAATTTAAACTTGGGTTATACCACAACCACACGTAAGGAGGGTTTTTCAGTACAGCAAAACATCATGCTCTTTCACTGTACTAGGATGCCTGCAAGGGAACACTGTAGTCTTGAGAGAGACTTGTAACAGTCAGGGAAAATGTGTCATGACAGCAGATAGGGAACAGGCTGCTTCAGAGCATTCTCCACTCAGTTTCCATTGTTCTATAAAACTACCTTCCACCTGCAAAACTCATAGGCAAAGTGCTACAAGAGTACAAAATTATCATTTCCCTCCTGTCTCCCCCATGCCAGAGGAAGGAATCAAGCCTGCTAACTTTTTAAATCCTTTGGGAAACTCATTATGAGGGAGATGGGTGCAAAGGAAGGACTTGATTCCTTCCTCTGGCATGGGGGACACAGGAGGGGAATGATCATTTTGTACTCTTGTAGCACTTTGCCTATGACTTTTGTAGGTGGAAGGCAGTTTTATAGAGCGATGGAAACAGAGTGGAGAATGCCCTGAAGCAGCCTGTTCTTCATCTGCTCCCTTTCTCACCTCTATTCAGAAGAAATGTTCCAAATATGCACTACAAATATATTTGCATGTGAAAATTCTCCATAATTTCCACATCTTGCCATGTGCTGTGATAAGCTCTGGTGCAGTTTGCTGGAGTCAGCTACTCCTGGGTGCAGCATCTGCACATGTCCCTGGACCACAGCAGTTTTAGCCAAAGTGGAGCAGCCCTAGGGTGGTGGTAGGCTTGGGGAGTCAGCCCTGGGCTCTGGATGGGGGCATCAGGCTGGCTGCAGCACAAGAGTGCCAAAACAGTGGGGCTGTGTGGCTGACCCTCCACTGCTGTGGTCCCAATCACTGTCCATATGTGATTTTCTGTGCAGTAAATGACTCTGCCGTTAAGATAGTATGGTCAGTACTATTTTATGGCAGAGTTAATTAATTTACTGTGCCCTAATACTGGCAGATGTGTAGATGGTGATGATTTACTGCAGAGCTAATTTGTCAACTATGCAGTAAAGTACACGTGTAGATGCACCAGGTAAATGAATTTAGATGGTTCATATACATGCGTAGAAGCACTATATATATGGACCATTTTAGGCCATCCCCTATTTCCCCCAGAAATGTCATTCTTAAACAAGAATGTAGAGCCAGATCCTTTTCCCGCTGTATCGGTACAAGTTTGTGTTATATTTAGAAAAAAAGGCAGAGTTCTAACTTTATTTTAATCAGATCCATATTTTAAAGCTTTCCAGCCTAATAATACAGCTGTTAGCAGGTGTTTGCAAAGAAAGTGCTTGCCCTCAATTTTATCTTCTTCTGTGTTAAATAAAACCTTAAAGTCAATTTATTATTTTGGATAAAAAAAAAAATAGATTAAAATGCTGGTAAGAAAGGATATAGGGCCAGATGTTTTCTTTTTTTGTGTATTAATTCTGAAGAGACCTCACAGAAGATTAAACTGAAAGAAATTGAAGGCAATGCTGCATTCACTAGGGTGCACATCTAATCACTTGGTATAAACCCAAAGGCATCTACAAACTCAGTTTTGGAACTTCCAGACTTGTATTAGCAACATCAGACACTGATTTACAGAGAAAGCCACCACAATTACAAGCCCATGGGATTTTGAGGGAGCTGGAAAATGGACATCCAGTCTCTGTCCATTGATAGCACGAAGTTTTCTGTGATTTAAATCTAGATCCACTCAGCAACCATCAGTGACTAAACAACGAAAAAAACTATATCCATCACTTTTTGGATAATGATGGACTGTAAAATACTGATTCTTAATTAACAGTCTCTCTCAATTTTCAGCCTAAAATTCAGAGGAATAGTTCTGGAAAGTTGAAATAAGCTACTTAATGTTTACACAAACCATACTTTTGATTCTTTTGAGGTTGTCTCATTGATAATTTAAAGTTGAGGACCTTGTGGCTAAAGATTTTCATAGGTAACTACTGAGGTTGGACAAATGAGATGGTCTGTGATCAAATTGGATGTAAAAAGTAGACAATAAGAAACTGCGTTTGGGGGATATGAGATCCCACTGGAAAGTCTTTGGCAGTGGAAGATTAAAGCTAATGAGAGACACACTTGGGAGGAATGGGAAAATTAGCTTTGTATCTGGCATTTAATTTGGCATTTTAATCATTATTTGGAAGTAAATCTGAATCAATATTGTGAGCAATTAATTTATTCATGCCCATCCTGAGTACATTTAGGCCTGAATAAAAAGTGCAGTACAGCACAATCAAGCAACCAGATTGCTTTTATTTTGATGAGCTAGAATAAAATTCCAATGGCACTGTAATTGAAAAGCAGGCAAATTCATAAGATGACCTTGAATTCTAAATATTGATTTTCTAATCAACACTTATCTGGACATTAAGATTTAAAATCAAATGGATCTGTGTGTACATATATTTAGGAAACTTGTGTAATAAAGGTGATGAGCTGCATATAATTTAGCCTAATTTCAAACTTGACCTATGAATGACTAATGAAGCACATGACAAAACGTCTTTAAAGAATAAATTAACTTCACTGAAAGTTTGGCTGGAAGCAATACCAACACTGATTTAGACATCTTCCAAACTCCTACACATCCCAAACACCACAACAGACCAGAATCAAAAGCTGAAATATTCTATTCATTCTAGTTCTCTGACCACAGACAGCTTTGTTGTTAATGCTGTTTTGTTTTGATTGCTGTTTCCCCAGCAATTTACTTTTGGATTATAAATCTGAATCTGAACTCTCACCTTACAGGCACATTTTAATTACATGGAAATCTTCAAGTAACACAACAATAATATTCACCATATGGACGGATGTTAGTACAAACAGGCAGATTAATAGGGAGTGTACACTATACTGCGGCTTAGAGATCTACATTCTTAATTCAAAAACCAATACATGAAACAAAGGTTGCTTAATTTAGCTGAAAAACATGTCTTTGTCACTTTCCATACAATCTAAATCAAATGTACACTCTGTCTTGCATTTGAAGTAGATCTTCCAGTTCATCCAATGGAGGAAATAATCTATTTGAGGGATAATTCCAATTCCCCTGCCCGAATAAAAATGGAATAGAAGCAGTCATACATATAAAACAACAATTATCCCACCACTCCTTTTATAAAGGTTGGCTCTAACATTACATTTTCAAAATGCTCCTCCAAAACATAGGTTTAAGGCTCAGACTTCATTTTATCTGGCTTTTATCATGAAGATTAATATGACTATTAACTATACAGAAGCAGGTTAAGTAAGAAGCACTGAGCTTTCTTAATGAAATAAGTGAGTTGAACAGTTCAGAATGAGTTCAGAGTTCAGCTGAAGAATTGCAATTTAGGATCTTCCATAAGAACTTGAGAAAATAAAGTTATACAAAGGTTCAGGTGCCAACTTTATTGGAAAAAATGACTCCTAACTATAAAACACATGGCCCATATTGGGCAAATGGACTACATAGCAAATTATATATTGTATTTACTCAAATATAAGATGACTCCCAATAATTAGATACTAAAATTTATAAATTTGTTACTATTTTCCAGGTTCAAAATCTAATTATTGGGTGAAGAAATGATCATAAATCTGGAAGTCAGAAGTATAATGTTCCATTAGTAGATTTACAGCATGAGGTTTTTCTGGTTCACCACTACATGTACTCAGTGAGAATCATGTTTCACGTTTTGATTATATAACCCCAAACCTCGCCAAAATGCTTCCATTTACTAAAGGTATTTCCTTTGTCAAGTAGTAAACACTTAAAAAAAATCTGTTATCTTCTTTCCTAATTTATATTCTGATTACAATAGGAGTATCTGAAAGACACTTCATTTAAACTACTTCATAATTAGATGAAATGGGCTCTGAACCAATTTCTGGTTACAATTTTTTATAACCAAGACCTGTGAATAATGGTGCATACGTTTATTTAAAGTCTTTAGGGATTTAATGGCACCTTTCCCACTCAAGTACTGCCAAATTGTGTAAAATTTAGGTTTCCTTAAAAAAAATAATTAAAAATCAGTCTTTGCAGTGGCAGGACATTGATGGTACCTTTGTCTCCAGTAGCAAGTTGGGGTGTTTTTCATGTTTTGGGGCACTGTGCCTGGCAGTTGTGTGAGACTGCTGTTTGTGAAGTTTTAGGAATAAGTTATACCAGGTATCAGACTTAGTCTGTGGGCCAGATCTGGCTGGCGGAGCTGTGTCACTTGAATTATGGAGCTGGTAGAGGGGCTGGACACAAGCAGGAATAGGGCTTGCCACCAGAATCAGAGGCACAGAGCCTGACAAGCACGTGAGTCAGCAATGGGGGCATGTGACAGCTGCATTAACCTGGCCCAGAGGGCAGGGCGAGTTTGAATCCCCTAGGTTAGACAAATTTTGGATGAGCAGGATATTGGATTCACTGGCCTTCTGAAGCCCCTTCTAGCCCTACTTTTTGGTGATTCTATGATTCAAACATTAACCTCAAGTGTTATCTAATGCAGTTATGTCTTTGTAAGTCTGTGGACTTTGTAAGTCTTGTTTTTGTAGAGCACTTTGGAAAACTCCAGGTCAGTAGAATGATTTGTCTTGTCAGTTTTCAACCGCTGCTATCAAAAACTCCCTTGGTATCAGTGCAATTGACAAGAATCAGGCCTGTTTTCCCAGTCTGGAGCTGAGAACTTTGGCTGCCTATACATGTGCTCAAGAGTGGGGAGGGGATCATTTTAATTAAAGCAGTTCCCAGAGAGCTGCTCTAATTAAAATGCTGCAGCAGCACATGCATTAAGCCCCCATGGGTTTAAAAATGGCTGTGGAACACTTTACCTACAGCTCATTAAATAAGCTTTAAAGTGCCCCCACAGCTATTTTGAAACACAGGGGGCCTTAATACACATGATACTGTGATGATGCTAAAACAGTCTAATTAGAATACAGAGCAACCTCGATTACTTGAGTCTGCTCTGACATATTCCAATTAGAATGCACTGAAGCATGTCAATAGGCTGCCTTTCTGACCAAAGTGGAAACAGACACTTGAAGTATCTTCTAGGGAGGAGGGCTCAAAATCAGAAGCCCGAGGAGGGAGAGATTAACAATAGGACAAAAACCGAGATATTCTTCTTGCTTGCAGCATCAGGAAAGGATCAAGGAGCTTTAGATTTCTCAGACATCTATGAACTAGAGCCTACAAATGATGGAATCTCCAAGCAGGGTCAGCCAGGGAGAGCAAGCACATCTTGACGTGTGTGCTGCCTCTGTGTCTCATCTTGAGTCCTTTAGTTTAATTATCTCACAATTTTGGTAATTTTTTCAGAGTAGGAGGAATCATGGCGAGTAAATGAAAGAGAAATAGTATAAGATAGAAAAGTCAAGAGGAATACAGGGGGAAGAAAACAGCAATCAACAGATGTTAAAAAAAAGAGAAAAAGGAAGATGGAGGAGGAAAAGAGAGATAGTAAATACTGAACATGCAGCAAGAAAAGATCCACCATGATCTGTTGTAAGACTGAAGGAAGGAAGAAAAAGTAGAATGAAGCCAGGAAGGGAGAAGTTCTAACAAAAGCAAGTCTGATTGTGTAAATTCCATTACAGAGATATATAAAGAAGAAAGCTGGTTCTCCATGTTGCAATCAAATATAGTACCACAAAACCGAACAGCTTAGTCTTTGAAGCTGAAGGGGAGTTTTTCATTTTGTCTACTAGGTGTCTCATAATTTTTCAAGCTTTACATTAGCAAGCTTAAGGAACAGGGATCAGCAACCTATGGCTCATGGGTCAGATCTGGCCCATGGAACCTTTGGATCTGACTCATGGATGTGGGGCGTTGGCAGTTTTCAGTGATAAGGGGCACCTTCTGTGAGTGCTCTACCTGTGCTGTCCTGGGGACAAACACTGACTGCAAGGGTTTTCCCTGTGCCGGCTGTGACAAGGGAGGGGGGCCGCAGTACGTTCCTATTTGCTCAGCTCTGACCCAGGATGGGTCATTCTGGTCCACAGATGGAAAAGGTTGTCTACCTCTGCTCTAAAGCATCCAATACTTGCCACTGCCAGAGACAGGGGACTAGACTAGATGGACCTTTGCTCTGACCCACTGTAGCTGTTCTTATATATCTGTGCGGCCTCACTGCTTTCAGCATTTTTCAGATGTGTAATTCATCAGTAACTAGTTCTGTTGCTGACATAATTGATTAATTTTACTCAATTTTGTTAGTTTTCAAATGCTGACAAGAGTAGGAAACAATAAAAACATTTAACACTAAAATTAACAGAAATTATTCTAGATATATGAAAACAACAGCTTTTCCAAGGAAATCCTCATTTTTATATGGCTGCTTTATAGAATAAAACAATGCTTTACAGTTTAACTTGTAGTATCTCATTATTATTCCAGAAGCTGGAAGTGTCCAAACTTTTCTATGTCATGCACTATTTGGCCCCTTCTACACATTATAGCTACTGCACAATTAACTGATCAACTGCACAACTAAACTGAGGCCAGCTACACGTGCAAAGTATCTATCTCACTGTATGAAGCTCCAACCAGGTATAAAGTTAGACTTTTAAAATGTATACTAACTTTATAGCTGGTTGCTCTCTACCTTTAATGTGCATACGTAGCAGCATCTCCCCTGTGGCTAGGAGCTACCAACCCTAGGGATGCACCATGCCCAGGACGGGTTGGGAGTTCCACAGTCAAGCGGACTCAGCCACAGCAGTGCCCGGTGGCTGCGGGACTTTGGGCCACAGCTGCAATCTTCCAGCCCCAGGGGTATGTGGTGCACCCCCACAGCTGAGAGGCTGCAGTAGCTGAGATCTGCCAGCCATGGGGGACTCCATGCACCCTGTATCTGGGGGACTGCAGCTGCTTTGAACTCCCAGCCAGGAGGAACATGGTACACACCCCACAGTTAGGAGACTGCAGCTGCTATGATCTCCCAACAATGGGAAATGTGGTGCGCCGCTGCAGCTGGGATCCACTTCAGCTGAACGAGCTCTGGGCCACAGGAGATTGCTTCTTGCGGGTGCAGGGGGAGCCCAGGATCAGGCTTTTCTTCCTGCACCAGTAATAAGACGTGATGGGATCTAATGTGCAATCCCACAATTGTGCCTCCTGCCATGCATGTATGACATGGTAGGAGGTACAAGTGTATGAATCGTGCATTAGATCCTATTGCTTCTTTACCTGCCCACATAGAAGGCAACATGTTTTCTGCAGGCACCTAGGAGAAAATCTAGCTTGCTAATTTTTAAAAACACGACTTCAGTTGCCTACAGACTTGTTTTTGGTTAAATACAAAATTCGAGGAAAATTTATTGATTACATTATAAAAAATTATTACGATCCACATATTATATGGTATGTGACTAGTATACTTCAACTATTGTATGCATTCTCTTTGAAGATGAAAGATGCAATGAAAATGCTCCTTATTATTCCTGAACAGAATAAATAGATAAACATCAAGTACTTACATCAATTAAATCTGAAAGATCATGAATATAATACTTGAAAACAGAAGCGTTGGTTGCTTCAAGGGTAAGTAGGTACTCATTTCGGGCTTTAATAGATTTCAGCTTGTTTTCAGAGTATTTTGCTTGACGCTAAGAAAAAGACTGAATGTTATTATGAGAAAGTTTGAATTACAGTACCTCAGCATTATCATGTAGCAAAATACAAAAAAGTACTGATTGTTACTGTTAACAAGAAAGAACCTTTACTTTCTGCTGTGTACTTACCAAGAACACAAATTCAAAAACCTTTCTAGAAAAAAAGTAATTTTGTATTTAACTTCATATATGACCAAACCATGTAATATGCATACTGCAGGGAGAAAAAGTACTTTCTCCTTGAATTTCAAGTCTATTTGCAATTAAGTTTTTTGTAAACTACTGCTAATTTATTACATATTTTTTATTTAATGTCATTTCATTATATGTTACATATTTTCCAAAATGGACACATCTGTTTAATGTTGTAGTATTGAACTGTATAAATCTAAGCTACAGTTTCAAGGGATCTTGGAACAAATCTGGGTTTACTTCAAGTGAAACAGGATAACAAGCTTTTAAAGAAACACTATTTACTTTTTCTTTCATTTTTTCAATCTTCTTCACAGAACTCCGCCTCTGGTGTCTCTCCTCTAGTCGAATATGAAACACAGGGTCTCCTGACCTCCCAATCTGTTTTTCTTCTTGCTTCTCCGCCTCCTTCAGCTTGCTTTCTGCACTGATGCTCTCTGCATGATACATATGGTATGTTTTCATGACCTGTAGAAGGCACAGGGAAGGTAAGAAGCAATGGTAATCTAAAAACTAGCCTTGGAAAAACTGGAGGGCCCCTGAGAGAAAGCATCATCTTAAAAACATGACATTCTTTTGCCAACAAGGTCTGAGGCTCATGGATTTTATTTTTCTTTTTTGCTGTGGAATTTCATCTCGAGAGTTAAAAGCAGCCCTGTATGCTTTGCTCTCAAGTTATTTTCAATGAAGGATATATCCAGTGTTAAAGGGGCTATTATTGTGTTTAAGTAAATATCTTTCTGTAGCACTTTACATATTCAAAGCATTGTGAAACATCTTTTGAATAAAGGGAAGGGTGATGGAGCATTAGTCTGAGTGTAAGCAGAATGATTAGCTTCTCTTTCTCTCTCATCTTCCCCTCAATGTATAGTTGATATACTGAAACATGCTGCTACATAATTTGGCATCAAGCTATTAACCATCTCAGACAAAATTAAAATAGAATATAATCTTTTAGCAACTGGTTGTAAGAAACAATATGAGAAGTCATACAGTATACAAATTGATTTTAGATGAAAGAACAAATCTATATCATTAACTTCTAGAGCAGCAAAAGCAACTCATGACTTCATACATATACTTTAACTACGCACAATAAAACAGGGCTATATTATGTTCAATTTAAAAAATGTTTACATCTTCACGCGTATGTTAACAGCCCTTATCTTTGATTACTGAAAAAGAAAGTTTGAAAACAAACCTAAATGACTGCTCTTAGAAGAAGAGGAAGGAAACAAAGCTAGTAGAGACCCTGATTCTGAAGAATATATTCATGATTTGCTGGAGCATTCTAGTCCTGCAATGAAGCAGTTGCTGACTAGCCAGACTTATCTGTTGCGTAGGGTTAAAGCAATCTATCTAGAGACTTAAAGATCAGATGAGAGTTGGGAAAAGAGAGGTTACATAAACAAATGGTATGTGAACTTCCCCCACCCTTAATTCTCTATGCTAATCCCATTAATCTCTCCCCTCTTATGCAGCTCACAGAGGTTTCCCCTTCTCTGGAATTATCTGCCTGTATAGGCCAAGAGGGGACGCAGGACAGTCCTAACTATGCTTTCTTAAAAAGAAGAGCAAAACACAAAACCCACCAACAGTAAATAACATAAGCTTCAAAGCTAACCTTTTTGCAGCAGAAGTATAATTCCTATCCCATCAGGTGGGGAAGGCTCCTCAATGAGTGGAGGAGCTCCCTTTCTACGCTCAACTGACCACCTGCTTTCAGGTTTCTATACTGGTTTCAGAGAACACTATGTGTGTGAATCCTCAACACTGGTGGCCTCCTTTTTTCTTTCCAGGATGACAAAGCTGTCAATCAGGCAGATGTCACTTTTGGGCCAATGCCATGCAGACCATTTACAGCTTCTGAGTCAGCCAGCCAGGAAATACATTGGCTGCTCCTGCCTCAGCAGGATGTTGTAGAATACAGTAGGAGAGGTAGTCTTAGGGAGGTGCCTTGAAATACCCTCTTGGGATAGAAGCAGCTTCTGTTGCAGCATAATCGGAAGGCCTAAAGAGCTTCTATATGTTGGCACTGAGGAGGCCTCATAGATGGATAGAGGTAAATTAATCTTACTCCACAATGGAAATATGCCTTAATATTATGATTCTCAGAAACCAGCTGCATGCTATTCCAGGTGGCTATAGAACACATGTACGAGAACACTCGTATTTAAAATTTTGGGCAACAAACAAAAAGCCTTTGGGGAATCCTTAATAGCACATGTAAAATGTTCAATAATTTAAGCTATTGGCAGAACTAAGATGTGAACTCTCTTGAAAAAAATAGCAAACTGTTCACTTCCCCACTCCTTAGCTAAGGCAAAACCTTGCAGCATTTCAAAACTAGTTGCTTTTAGAGCATATTTACAAGCATATGATCACAGTTGCTATGCCCTTCTGTGGAATGGATATATTGTAATTTTTTGCATTAACACCAACACCCAACGAAATGTGGAGTTCCCCATTGTTCTGTGTTCTGTATATACACATAATAAAAGGGACTATCCATGTGTCCAAAAAGCATGGAAACTAAATAAGCAAGACAAAGGCATGGAAGAGGAAACAGGGGCACAGCATATCCGTGACAGAGTTGGATTCTACAGATTTGGAGTTCGTGTGTTTAACTGAATGTTATGCTTTACTGCTTTCATTCTGGGTTTGTGCTAAAAGCATTTCTAATAGCAAGTAAGAACTTTAACTCTTCAGATTCCTTATAGACAAAATAAAAAAAATTACATTTGTGTCCTTTTATCAAGAATTGTGTTTTGTATAACGAATGCTAAAAATAACAGGAAGTTACAATGTTCTAAAAAAGAGACATGAAAAGGAAAATTAAAAGTAGAGATTGTGCCCTTTCTTTTTTCTTCTTTATAAGATCCCTTTACAGAGAAGACTTAGAGCTCTGCTTTTAACGGAAAAGAGTTCCAGCCCCAGACAGAGTATCAGGATCTTTTGGCTCAAGGATCACCATCATACTCATGGCATAAAGTCATGCAGTTTTTCAGTGTCTCAGTTTTTTCCACCCATGAAAAGGGCACAGTATATTATATAGGTATAATTAAATATACCTAGCATGTTTTCAGCTGTGGATTTCTAAGTATTTAATCATGTGAGTTCTATTTTACAAACCAACTAAACCCACAGATTTGAAGCAATTCCTCCTGTCACCCCTGCCACTTCCCCCCGTGAACTTCTATAGAGTAGAAGATGCAGCATAAGTCTCTCTCTTGGCCAGTTTTTCATACATGAAACCAAGCTGGTGCATTCAGCCAGCCCCATTATCTGCAGTAATGAAGTACCCCAGAACTTAAAACAAGCTCTTCCTGAGAATCCCAATAAGCCCAGTGCTAGAGCTCTGCTTGTCTATTTTTCCTCTGCCGTTAACCCACAGCATGAATGACTGGTGCGTCCCACAGAAGCCAGCGGTGGCTTCAGCCAATCTCAAGGGGGGGGGGGG